ATATTACAAAAATATATATATTATATTTAATTTATTACAACAAACCATGTTGCTTTTAATAAATCAAAATATCAAAACAACATTAAAATAACAAATAAAATATATATGTGCAAATTTTTGACCACTTTCAACATCGGACAACGATTTGCTTGCAGCAAAGCACAAGCAACCAGCTACTACATATACTAAAGCCGAATGAGGTTTCACCGTAGCTAAGCCTCACCACAATGAAACCAAAACGGCATCATTTTGAGCCTTTTTTTGCTTGAAATGATGTTGCTTTTTCAAAAAAAAAAAAAATAACAATTTATCTATTTTTACACTTTGGTCCTTCAAATTATCATTTTATACAAAACAATCTCTAACTTTAATTAATTTTACACAAAGGTCTTTGTATTTTACGGCTAGGCTAGGCTTCCGGTCCGGTCGCATGGGCTTGGTGCCAGCCCAATCCAACCTTCTTTTTTCCTTCTCTTTCTTTAAGCTTTTATTTTTTCATTATTTATTATTTGCTCAAAATATTTTTTTTCATAATTAATGATTACTTTTAAATATTTTTGTAAAGACTCATTAACTAAAATTAAACATTTTTCTAATACAAATTGATTAAGCATCTTCTTCTAATTTGATTTTTTAAAAAAATAAGTAAATAATTGTATTTTTTCTTTATCAAAATAAAAAAACTATTTTTAGGATATATATATACACACACACACACACACTTGTTAGTGCTAATTAATTTTTATTTTATGGCTATATTTTTGAATTATTTAAAATATTAAAATATAGGATATAATAATAAATTTATTCGCAGACAATGCACAAATACTATGCTAGTAAATATATTAAAACAAAATAGTCTTTCATTGTAGCTTAGCCCTTTTTTGGGCTTTTAGTAAATTTTTTAGTCCCTCTTTTGTGATCTTTCGTTTATTTTAGTTATTGAAGTCTTAGTATATTTGATTTTGGTCCTTATAAGGAACTTTTTTTGGCTTCTAGTGAAACTTTTTGTTTTGTTTTGGCTTCTATTTTATGATTTTTTTTTAATCATTGAAGTTTCATCATATTTGATTTTTATCCTTACTACACTAAATTTAAAAGCAATTTCATTATCTTAAGCCATTTTTTTAGTGAAATTTTTTTTTTTTAGTTTCTATTTGGTAATTTTTGTTTCTTTGTTTTAGTCATTAAATCTTGCCTTATGCATAATGGGTTTTTTTTAGTCTTAATGTTCATAAGTCTTTTTTTGCTTTTAGCGAAAGTTTTTTTTTATTTTATAATTTTTATTTTGTTTTCATCATTTAAGTTGTGTCAAATGTAATTTTTATCCCTATCTTTTGTCAAATGAGTTTTGAAATATTATAATTTTATTCTGATTTGACAAAGTTTTTGTCTTTTTTGTTTTGAGTGGTGTCTCTCTATCTCATTTACAAACTCCAAATAAAGAATATGTATGGAAATTAATCATTCAAGATTCAAAAATTTGTTACATCATTATTTTAATTATTATTTATTATACATATTTTAAGAAAATACATATTTATATAAAACAACATCTAATTAGAAACGTTATCGTGCTCAATTTTGCAGCTTTTTTTTTTTCGCTAACCCCACTATAACATACGAGATATATACTTTGGTTACTATATTCTCTCGAATTTTGTTTCATGAGATCCTTTGAAATAATTATTTTAAACTATGTATTTTATATAGATGAACACATGAGAATGTTGTGTGGCTTACTCTATGGCAACGTGCATACTATATGCTAGTATGAAACTCAAAGTTCAAAAAGAAATTAATTAAATTTTAGATAGCCGAAATCAGAATTTCAATTTAATTAATTAGATTTACAACTCTACCACTAAGCAGCTTGCACTTGTAAATATATTAAAACAATATAGACTTTCACTATAACTAAGCTTTTTTTTTAGCTTTTAGTGAATTTTTTTCTTTTGAGTCCTTATTTTGTAATCGTTGTTTTAGTTGTTAAAGTTTCATCATATTTGATTTTTTTTCCTACAAGAATTTTTTTTTTTTTTTTTTTGGCTTTTAATGAAACTTTTCATTATGTTTTGGTCTTTAAGTGAGCTTTTCTTTATTTTGGTCATTAAATTTTTATTATGTTTGATTTTTATAGTTACTATACCAAAATTAAATACAATTTCACTATCTTAAATCTTTTCTTTTGTTTTTTTTTTTTTTTTTTGGCTTTTAGTAAAACCTTTCTTCTTGTTTTGGTTGATATTTTGCAATTTTTTCTTTGTTTTGATCATTAAAGTTTTTATCATGTTTGATTTTTGTTCTTGCCTCATGCATAATAGATTTTTTTTAGTCTTATTATTCATAAGCCCTTTTTGGATTTTAGTTAAATTTTTTTCTTTATTTTAAAAATTTTATTTTGTTTTGATTATTTAATTTTTATCGTGTATAATTTTGTCCTTATCTTTTGCCAAATGGATTTTGAAATATTTTAATTTTATCCTCGTTTGATAAAGTTTTTGTCCTCTTGTTTTTTGTGGTCTCTCTCAATCTCAATTAATTGTTCACAATTCAAAAAGCTTCTATATCATTATTTTAATTACTAATTATTATACATATTTTTAATAAAATGCATGTGTGTATCAAATAACTTCTAACTCGTCAATATTATATTACTCAACATTTCGGGCTTTTGTTTTTAACTAATCGCACGGCAACACACGGGATATATACTTTGATCTCTCTATTTTTTGAATTTTTCATGTGATTTTTTGAAGTAATTGTTTTGAAATCAGTATTTTATATAGATAAACTTGAAGAAATCTAAACTATGATGAATTCTATATTATTTGATGGTGTTTTATTAACTTATATGTAGGATACAAGAAAGCAGATAACCATAGTTTGAAATATTGAATAAAGTCTTATCCTATCTATATTTATAGTTTAAATATTAAATGTTAGAATCTCAACAAACTTATCATCTTATCATCCTCTCTCAAGTTGAGTAGGGAAGCAATGAACGGTCGACTTGTCCCAAAAAAAATTAAAAATGTTGTCTGGACAATGCCTTAGTTAAGCAATCCGTAATTGATCTTCAATAGAGATGTATCTAATAAATAAATCACCTTTACTTACATGTTTTCGAACAAAGTGAAAATCAATCTCTAAATGCTTAGACCGAAAGTGGAATACCAGATTATGAGTGAGGTATGTGGCACTAAGATTATCACTCCATAATATTAGAGCAACAGAAGTTGATAGATGTAACTCACCAAGCAGAGATTGCAATCAAAGAACCTCATAAGCAATAGCCGATAAGACCTTATATTCAGATTCAGTAGATGGTTTTGACATTATGTGTTGTTTGCGAGAGCTCCACGAAATGAGATTAGCACTGAAAAAATTACATATCTGATTATAGACTTCTTGTCATCAATACTACCTACCCAATTAGCATTACTATAGGCAGATATATGCATAGTAGAAGATGGACAAATCAAGAGGCATGGGTCTGAGTGGCCTCTAAATAGCACAAAATGCGCTTGACTGGCTGCCAATGATCATTTATAAAAGAGTGAATGAATTGAGCAACTTTGTTTACACTATAAGAGACATTTGGATGAGTCAGGGTGAGATAATGAAGACTCCCCACTACACTGCGATACAGAGATGGATTAGAAAATAACTCAATCATAGACATAGTAAGTCAAAGTTTGGAACAAGCAAGAGTAGTGATAGGATTGCTAGCATGAATGTTAGAGCAAACTAGAATATCCTCATCATACTTGGATTGAGTAAGAAGAACACTTTTAGCATTCCATACAGCCTCAATGCCAAGAAATAGTGCAGCTAGCCAAGATCTTTCAAAGGAAAGTGACGTTTGTAGAGTAGTGATAGTAGAAGATAGAAAATCTAAATAGCTCCCAATAAGTACAATATCATCAACAGTATGCATGAGTAGCTCTTTGTTGGTAGGAAAATAGGGAAGTATTTGCCTTAGAGCGAATAAAACCAAGACTTAGTAAGGCATTGGAAAGGCATCAAAACCAAGATTAAGGTGCTTACTTAAGACCACATAGATTAATTTTCTTCAGCTGACAAATATGATTCAATTTGGTAGGATCAATAAATCCTTATGGTTGAGAAATAAATGCTTGCTTATCAAGAGAGCCATGCAGGAAGGCATTTGAGATATCTAACTGCTTAAACTCCTAGTATTTAGAGATCGTAAGGATAAAATTAGTCTGATAGTTATCGGCTTGAAAGTTAAGGAGAAAATCTCAATGTAATAAAGACCAAAACACTGATGAAAAGTCTCAATGTATTCAAGACCAAAACACTAATGAAATCCTTTAGCAATAACTCAGGTTTTTTAGCACTCAATGCTGTCATCAGTTCATTTTTTAGTGCAATATATCCATTTATATCCCACCAAATGTTATGAGAAAAGAGCTGGTACTAAGTTCCAAGTTTTTTTAGTTATCAAGGCATTGATTTTCTCTAACATTGCTTGACGCTAGTAGGCATTCTTCACTACATAGGAATAGGATTGAGGGTCCGAAATTGGACTAGTAGTAATAACAAAGAATTTGGGATTAGAGAAGCCTATTTTGGATCGATTGAGCATGGGATAATGAGAAACAAAATGTTAGACCAAGGGTTTTGTGGAAGTGGGCTGTTGATTTTAGTGAGGAGTTGCAAATTAGGAAGTGGATGGATAGGTCGTCGGTTGGGCCACAAGAGGAGCAAGGGTCGTTTGTTGGACAGTAGAAGGAGCAAATAGGAGGCTTTGAGTTGGACAACAGAAGGGCCAAGCTGTATGATCATGGGTTGAGTGGCATGCTGTTGGGCTTGGATGAGCTGCTGTAGGTCTGTAAAGGAGATCAAATTGATGGGTCATGGGTTGAATAGATGAAGGATAGGTCATAAAGTCTAGATAAACACAGACTTTTGGCCCAGAAGATTGAATCATTTGTGACGGCCTGCTAGATGGCTATTGTGTAGGCCTGTTAAAGCTCACATGTGAAGGCCTGTTAGAAGCTAAAAAGTTAGGAGATGGTAGAATCGGAGCATATTGGTCAAAAACTGTAGGAAAATGCAATAGTGGGCTAGCCGAAGAATCAAAATGCGAAGGAGTTGTTGAAGGAGGGCATGCACAACTTTCAGCAAATGGAAACTCATATTCAAAAATCCATGGAATTGATAAAGATGGTCCAGCAACAGCAACACAACCAACAGGTTTGAAGCCAATGTTATGGCGATGCTCAGGCTTTGGCTTGGGAGAGGGACATCGTCTAGCAACATAGCCACTCCCACAACAGTTAAGGCAGATTATCTGACTGGGATTTGTGCAAAATAGTCTGCAGAAGAAGTAGAATGTTGAAAGGAATGACGAGTGGCAGAGGAGTTACCAAGATAGAAAGCATTACTACGCTGGTCACGGCCATATGAAAAGCTGCCACCAGGGTCAGAAAAATGGGCAGAATGAGTAGTGATAGTGTCTGTCAAGGCGGTATCCAGCTAAAGCTACCGTTCCTCACAAAGAAAGAGCCTAAATAAATCGTCAAAGGATACTAGAGTAAGTCGAGCTTCCAAGGAACGAACAAAAGGTCTGTACATACTACTAAGAATAGTGAGAATGAGATCGACAACGTCATCTTTGGGTATGGGATTGCCAAGGGCTGCCAATTGATCAGACAAGACCTTAGCCCTTTTGCATGTAACTGGTAATGGCATCATTATCACACCAGAGTCTATTCGCTGAGCTTTAAGCTGATGGATTTGGGTTTTGGAACCCGAAGCATAGGCAACCAGTAATTGTTGCCATACAGCTCGTGCGGTGGCTGCCTCAACAATATGGTTAAGTACAGATTCTGATAGTGAAGATATAATCCAACTAAGGACTAGTTGATCCTGGCGGTACCAAGAAGCAAAGGCTGGATTAAGAGCATTGTCATCAAGGGTAGGAGAAGGTGGCTCCATGGTACCATCAGCATAGTGTGCCAGATTATGACCACGTAAGAGTGGCAAAAATTGGGTCTGCCGGAGAAGAAAATCGTTAGAGTTGAGTTTAAGAGGTATTTGGTGTGAATACAGTCGATGGGGCAAGATTGTGTGTGGACATGGCAGTAGAGGTAGGAATAACACCTTCAGGTGTACTGTCCATGATTGGGAGAGAAGAGGAAAAAAAAAACGCGTATGAAGAGCAGTAGCAGGCTAAGAAATATGATGACAGTAACAGGGTTGTTATCAGCAAATGGGAAAAATAGAAGAGACTTGTACAACAGGCTAAAAACAAAAAATGATTACAGTAGGTTTGAGATTGGGAAAAGAAAGAAAAAAGAAGAAGAAGGAACTTATGCAGTAGCAGTAGCAGTAGCAGGCAGTACGTACCTATCTTGTCACTTTGGTTTGGTGGGGGGAATGTGGACGAGACTGATACAAAAGAACTCACACGTTGGCTGTGAAGCCTAGAGTGGCTCTGATATCATAAAGAAATCTAAACTGTGATGAATTCCACACTATTTAGTGGTGTTTGTATTAAAATATATAAAGGATACAAGAAAGCAGATAATTATAGTTTGAATATTGAATAGAGTCATATCCTATCTATGTGTGTAGTGTAATATTGAATGCTAGAATCACAACAAACGGATCGTCTTATCAAACACATTATCAGAATACTGTACTGGCTCAACCTACGACAACGCTAGAGATATATGCTAATATCTTCGAGGTTCAACCTTCTAGTACATTATGCATCATTGGTTGATACATTAAGTTCACATTGGAATTTATTGTTAAGAAGGCACCATGCACTCTTCAGAGAAGTTAGATGTATATATGAACTTTATGCTTGCTTGTCAAATCTTTTCCTCATTAATGGATACTTATATATATGGCATGAAAGAAAACGGACGGGATTAGTTCAAGTGAGTTGAATTGCCGTATTGAAATCTATCAATTGGAAACTACCACACTCGGACTTGCGAACTGCTAATAGAATTGATCATTGGAGCTGCCGTGAATGTGCGTGTCAGTTGAGAAAAAAATAATCAGAGACTTTAAAACAAATAAATAAATTACTGTACTATTCTTTTAAGCTTTTTATCCATGTAATAAAAATCTATAACTATCAAGCTTTAACGACTTTCCATCCATCGTTCCATTTAGTCATCAACCCATCTCAAATCCATCTCTAAAGGTCCAAACAACCGAATTGATTATTTTCATGCATAAGGATGCTAACTTACCTAACATAAAACCTTTTTTTATTTTAGAAAGGTTTAAGTCGGACGAGAATAATATTCTATAACTAATAATTCATTTATTTTCAAGCCAATATTAACACATCTAACATGTCTCACGCAATCTCCAAGCCCAAAATTGCCTAACATTAATATCAATTTAGGGTCAAAATTCCGTTATAAACAATTCAATCATCACAAAGCAAAAGGGACATCCGAAGAAAGAAATCAAACAAAACCAATAAAGAAAGAAAATCGGACCACCCATTCAAAACGGCACACCTGCATCCCACCATTTCCTCTCTCTAACCACCCTCTCATTTCCCGCCACGTGTCCCCCTCACTGTACGGGCAAGCTGATAAGGACAAGGAAATGGCAGAATCTTGCTGCTGTAAGGCGAAAAGGAATCACACCGAGAAGGGCCTTTTTTGTTGCGTACTCTGCAGATCAGAAACGGTTTTTGCTTCCTTCGGATTATCTTAAAATTGTCAGAGCGCTGCTTAAACTGGCAGAAGAGGAGTTATGGATTGTCCAGCAATGGGCCTTTCAAGTTGCTTTGATCAAACAGCCAGTCACTAGAGATGCCTGTTGTCTCTGCCTAGCAGTCGCTGCTAAACATCTTCAGAACTCCATCATCCAGTATAAGACCATCAATTACCGATTTTCGCTTCTCAAATATCGTAGAAAACTCAAAATTTATGATATACATAATTTCTTCGATAAAGTTTGTTCAATGAAAACTCAAAGAGAAATCTCTCGCAATTTACAGTTCAAGGACATGCGCAAGTTAGAGACATTAGCATCAGTGGCCTCATCATAATTTCCTTATCAAAAACATTCAAGAGTGCATTCGCTGAAAAATATAGTACCATACATACTATTGCGGGTATTATCAATCTGTTGAATTTACAAATAAATACAAATCTTTGATTTCGTTTTCTATACATACAAAATAAACAATAAGAACAAAATATCTCACACGTACAAATGAAGCCTGTAACTGGTACCATTAAACGTAATTACAACAGAATTTCTGAGTAACATCATATAAATCAAAGTGGAAATCACCATAGCCAGAATGCAAAAACGAACCTGACACACGGCTTTGTGCTTGAACTACATAAACTTCACAAATAAGCGCATATGAAATGTCTAGTTCTGAAAAACAAGCAGTATCAGTGTGTGAGACAACAATAGCATACAAACATGAGATTCACCTAGTGTGAGACTCCTCTAAGTTAGTTTACTTGTCCCTTTGGTTATCTGAAGACACAAACTCCATCAAACCCTTTCTGCCACAAGCAATTGCTCAAGTTCCTCCCTCCGCTGCTCTAATTCCTGTGATCATTAATCCATGTTTGTGAATAGAGGAAAATTTGAGTTACAATCAACCTTTGTCAAAAAGGTAGACAGAAACATCAATTAATCACTAAGAAAAAACACCATTTGTCTAAAAAACCCCAACTGCATACTCTCACAATGTCAACAGGTGTGCAAGCACAAGTGCATCGGATTGAGAATCTTTTTACCTGACATTTTTCACCCATGTCTGATTTTAAACACAAGTCTAAAGTGCATCCTGACTACTGACTGTCACCTAAATCAGAATAATGAAAAAGGATTCTCCCATAATTGATTACAGAAGCCTGTTTGCTTACAGAATTGGTTTGGGGTATGTCAGAACCCTTTCAACAGCTTTATTCTAACAAGCACTCACTGTTCATAGCACTTCAAGTTTTAGAGGCACAACAAAATTCTGATCCATTTCCTCACGTTGGCTTACCATTTCATTTCTCAGAAGATTTGTGGTATATTTCTCTCTTCTTGCATGCATTGTACACAGCAAAGATGCTTATAAAGATCTTAAAACTCATGTTCCTGCTTGTCACTAAAATTTCATATAATGCCTTCACCTCCAAAAAGTGATGGCATGGATAAATTAATTGCATAACTTGGAGGAACAACATACACATACAAGCTTGGAGTAAAATGAAAAACAGGAAACTCATATAAACACTCAATACCAATCATCATTTGAGGAGCTAGAGCAATACACAGCTTACCTCCAGATCCTTGACAGCCTGCTCCCTCGTAGTTTCTTTCTGCTGACGAGCCCGTTTAAGAAACCCAATGCACAGAATTCCCTAGAAATTTTAATCACAATCAAGAGCAACACATCATTGGATTAGTCCCTAAATTCCCAAACGGAAAAGCAAAGCCAAACTCAAAGTTAGTTATTTCTCTAAACCAAGCTCAACCTATACCAATGCCCAAATTTGCTTATCATCTTACCGAAACAATATAAACTACACCACAAGCAAGGAGCATATAGCTTGCTACGTTTTGTAGAATAAGAAGCTCCTTCTGCTTTGAAGAATAGTCAGGGAAGGCTCTTGTCATTACTGCAACACTGCACAAAAACAACCTTCATCTTAAACGCCAAATGAAAAATTAATGACTCTGTACATGCGTGTGTAATGCACATTTTGCCATCCTCCATAAAACAAATAACTCACAATATTTGCAGCATGCCCCTACCAACCCAATAATCCAATACCTGCAGAATTGGAATTAGTTAAATTTTACTGCAGAATATGAATTCGTAAAACTATTAACATTTGCACAAATTCCAGAATAATAATTTATTAGATTAAATTAATTAATTAATTCAATCACAAATTAATTCAATTCAATAAATTAAAATAAGCAAAATGTCAAACAATTCATCACCAAACTCCAACTTTCACAGATTAAACACAAATGCAAAAAAAAATAAAAATAAAACAGAAAACAGAAAATCAAGAAATCGAAAACGAAAAGGGAACCTTCCAGTACTTGATGATAAATCCCCACTCAGTCTCCGCAACCACCACAATAGCCGCAATCAGCACCGCATAGCACCTGAATATTCCATCAAAAACCTACAGAAAACAACAACCAATCAGCAATCAACACCTTACGCTCCACCCACTCACTCACCTATGCATACACTTAGAGATATATACAGAGACTTACATCAGATCGGTCTTTGAAAGATCGAACGGCGGAGAGAACGTTGACGGCAGCACAAAGAATGGCAGTGAGTGAAGTTACAAAGCTGAAACACCTACAAATTACTAACAAGGGGTCCGGTCCAGGTCGAGCTCGTAATCTCGAGCTTGATGATGCTCGAGGAGGAGCCAGCGGAGGCAGAGGTAAGGTCTCTGCTTCTCTCTCTGCGTTTCTCGCCATTGAAACCGAATCGAAACGTGTCTAGATGAACGAAAGAGAAGTTTTTTTCATTTTTTCCCCCTTTTTCCTTGTGTTTCTGCCCTTCTCTTGATATTTTGAAGCGGGATTCTTTTCTTCCAGCTGTTGTTCAAGCAAGGAACAGAAGGTTGTGGAGGACGACACGTGGCGGTTCAGAAGAGATCGTGACTGACACGTGTGGATTCTATCTTGGGTTTCCCCTCTTTTACTGTTCATTTGGTGGGTCATACGTGGCGTAATTGCTGTTCTATGTACTAACAACTTATGGGTCAGGCCAGATGTTTGAGGGCTTGGGACTGGTTTGCTAACTTGTGAATTTTTGATTAATTTTTTAATCAAAAATGTAATTTTTAATTTTTATTATCTAAATATATCAAATTTTAAATATTTTCTAATCAAGTTTTTTTATTAATTCGAGTTAACTTTATGCTAAGATGGAGATTAATTGCACATGAGGAACTAACATTTGGGCTCTGTTATATATATATATATATACAAATTTGTCAATTTTTTTTATTTGAATATGTAAATTTTGATACTTTCTATTTAAGGATACTAACTTATAATATTATTTTCTATTTGACTGATTTTATTAATTTTAGACTGACATTTTTGTTAATTATACGCATGAAACCGTTATTTGGTGGTTTTTTAAGCCACTAAAAATTAGGCTTTTAGCTCCGAAAAAATAGGAGTATCCGGGAATTCCCACAAAGAAGAAAGAAGTTATGATCATGGTGGCTCGACCACCGTCATTGCCATGTCCCATGTCGATCAAATGGTAGTTTCCTCCCTCGAGGCTACAATGCCAACCCGAGAGACTAAGGATACTAGACGGAATATGTCAACAACCAGTTTGAGTACATAGATTATACCGATCCCGGCCATAAAAGTTATGGAGAACCTACAACCTTCTAGTATCCCAATTAGAGCTATTGGGAACGAAATTGGACTAGAAAAAAGATCATCGTTATCTTATGCCCATATTGTTGCCCAACCAATGATAGTTCCAAAGATCTAAAAATAAATAAATAAATCAAAATCATATCCCCTCACAACCATTCCTTTGGCACCAAGGCAACCCGTTTATATTAATTCCGAATCGACATGTTTGTTCTCCTTTTATAGAGCTGCAGCGAGTATCAACCTAATTCCAACACACTCGATACCGAAATTCGGTAGGGGAGATCGTCCATCGGAGATATACGAGAACATATTCATCTGTTGTGGCATTTAAAAAATGAAATTGTTATAAGTTTACTTGATCCACGCCATGCCATGGTTCGTTTGGAGACTAAAGAAGATCCGGTTTTAGCCCTATCCCGTAAAGATCATAAGATCCAAAACAATGTGTATCGTATATTCCGATAGAATGCAAATTTTTAATTTCGGAAAGATACTCCCTTAATTTTTGTATGGGTTCGGTTGTCATATCTCACATTGATGTTCTTTAATCCGACCTTTTTAAAATGAATTAGGGAAGGAGTTTCTTAAGGGCGGATAAAAGAACATTGGCATTAAATCACCCAATTTGTGCAGATTACGTTTAGAGGTGGATGTATCCAAGCCACTTTAAAGCCGTATATGGGTGGGAAGTTCTAAACGAGTGGTTTTTGACGGAGGATTGAATATGAAGAAAGCAAGATTATTGTTTTTAAATTGGCCATACAGCAGCTGGACATCATAAGAATTTGAAAGCTCCACGATCCGAGAACTTAGTGCGACCAAAGGGACGGCAGTTTAGTGAGATTAAGCAATTAGTGCATGTAAATACGGATAAACACCTTTGGGTTCCCATGCGAGAGATAGAAAGGAAAAGATACGGAATACGTAAAGAATAATTCATAAGAGTAGCGAAGCGATAACTATGATATAGGTAGGAGAAAGCAATAATCGGTTGTTATTGGTCACGAAACGCGTAATGAGCGAGTTGGGAGAGGGCAATTTATATGAAGTTGCATGTAATGTTAAGGGAGGCAACTCAGCAAGATCGAAGCTACATGAAACTAACGAGTGTAAGTTTGGATCACAACATATGTGTACTTGGTGAGGGAAAAGATAATTGCTAAGAGATACGATCGATATTAGTGAAAAAAGGGTAACAAAAATCGTGAATATCCACATAGACTCAAACCTTTTTGCTATTTTAGAATTGGTAGAGGAGGTTGGGGAAAATGAAAATGAAGGAGAGACAAGTGCAAAATAGGTCTGAGTTTGTGTTAATAAAGAAAGATAGTTTGAGGAAAGATCATAAAAGAGTGTAATCGATAGTTCGGATTGATGAAAGCTACGATAAAGAGAACTAGACAACTAATACCACGGGCTAAGGTACACTTGGAGAACGATGAGGGAAAAGGTTTAGGCAATAGTTCAAGTACACCTCGGTTTACGTGCCTAGATATACCAAATGTTAAAACCTCTTTTTGGTGGCCAAGGATGTAAAAAGAAGTGGCTGAATTTATTTCAAAGTGTCTAACTTGTCAATAAGTGAAAATTGAACACCAAGCTCCAACGAGAAAACTACATCCTTTACCAATTCTAGGGTGGAAATAGGAAAAGATCATTATAGACTTTGTAATGGACTTGACTCGCACTCTAAAAAAGAATGATGACACATGGGTTATTGTTGATAGATTAACGAAGTCAACTCATTTTTTACCAATCATATGGGGTTATTCGTTAGACCGGCTAGCTAAAAAGTATGTTGATGAAATTGTGAGAATCCATGGTGTGCCACTATCTATTGTATTAGATAGAGATCCGAGATTTACTTTCAGATTTTGGAGTAGTTTTTAGCAAGGCTATGGGAACTAAACTTCATTGTAGCACTACTTTTCATTCATAAATAGATGGAAAGTCAAAGAGAACCATCCGGACATTTGAACATATGCTTAGAACTTGTGTATTAGAATTAAGAGATATTGGAAGGATTATATAACTTTAATTGAATTTGCGTATAATAATCACTTCTATGGCAATCTTAGCATGGCTCCTTATGAAGCTCTATATGGTAGAAAGTGTCAATATCCGAGTGTATTGGGATGAAGAAGGAACACCAATACTAGAAGGTTTCAAATTGATACAAGAAACTCTAGATAAAGTAAAAGTGATTCGAGGTAAATTGAAAGCGACGAAAAGATTGATAACGAGTTACATGGATCAACATAGACGAGAGATAAAATATAGTATGGGTGATAAAGCTTTCATTTGAGTTTTTCCTTAGAAAAGAATATTACGGTTTGGTAAGAAAAGGAAGTTAAGTCCTCGTTTCATCGAGCCGTATAAAATTATAAAACGAATTGGTCCACTCGCATATAGATTGGCCCTACCCTCAAAGTTGGCACTAATCGCATGATGTCTTTCACGTAAGTATGTTAAGATAGTACCAATTCAATTGTTCACATGTATTACGAGCCGAAGAGATTAAGGTATCTAACAATTTAAGTTATGTTGAAGAAGCTGGTATAATTTCTCAATCGAAGTTAAGATGATTGAGAAATAGAGAAATACCAATAGTGAAGAGGCAACTTGGAAAACCAAGGAGTATATACATCAACATTATCCTTATCTATTTTTCGATACGGGAAAAGGAATTTTGAGGAAGAAATTCTTTAAAGGGGAGGAGTATTGTAATATCTTGTCCCAAAAATTTTACTAATTATACATACATGCAAACATGAAGATAATATATGAATACAATATATATACATGTGACATGTTAGAAGTGTTTAAGAAATATGTTTAGTGGTTAAAGGAGTTAAGTGTCAAATTAAACTTAGTTGAGGGACTTAAAGAAACTTTACCAAGATATCTACTTAAACTTATCATAAACTCTCTACACTCTTTCAAGAGCTGATTTCATAATTTCTAACTTCATGGCGATCACCTTTGAGAGAGAGAGAGAGAGAGAGCTCGAGTTGTGCATGGCTAGTTAAAGAGAAAGGCAAAAGAAAAGTGAAAAATCAAGAGTAAGTGAGGAATCCCGAGGGAAACCTAGTTTAGCAACCAAAACCAATCTAAAGTCATCCTAAGGCAAGAAGAAATCAAAGGCAAGAGTTGATTTAGAGGGGTTAACTTGAGATTAAGAGAAATTAAGTCAAGTTCTTGAGTAATCTTGAAGAGAGGTGAGGTGTTTTGTAATTTTTGTTAAGTTTTTATTCTATCCCGATTTTGAATTGCAATTATCGATGATTTAGGGTTAGAATTTGAGTCTTTTCAAAACATGAAAGTTGTAGATTAAGATCTACTTTAGTAACTTACCAAATTTGAGAAAAACTAGAAAAGTATATTTTCCTCTAAGTCTCTCACCACCTAGCTGTTATATTCGATCGGAACATTCTGCAATATGAGCTAATTTCATAAAATTGTCATAAATTATATGCTTAGAATTTAGGGCTGATTTTTTGATATGTTATAGAAAATTTGAGTCTAGTCTTATACAAAACTAGAATTAGGTCCTTTGGATTTATATTTTATGAATTAGGGCTAGAAGATTATTGCTACTTGCTAAAGTGATTAAGCTAACAAAAGTTCTTATTTTTCACTTTTAGAAGTTTTTAAAATACATGAATGATAAAATAACTTATGAGATGATATATATGCATGTTTTAGACCTCGAAGATCATGAGGTATAAGATGTGGTACATTGAAGAACGTCACGGCAACTTCATTTTTATGAGTGGATATATTTGAGATATCTATTGATTGTTTGATGTTATGATTTCTTGGGTGTTACTTGATATTGATGACTTGTTTCAATTGTTATAGTGAATCAATGCTTGTATATGATCCATGATATGGTTTATTTATGATGATATGTATAACGTATGTGTTATGTGAGACATTATTGATACATACAAGATTAAAAGGAGTAAGGTTATGATCGATATGTTCGAGTATTCATAAATACAAGTTATAAGGACCCAACGGGTCAAAGATAAATTATAAGAGCTAGCTAGCAATACGAGTTTAAGAGTCTTAAG